TGCCATCATAAAAACATGAAAACATAAACAAAAATAATCCGACAATCGGCGGGACTCAGGCGTTCCTGAAGGGTGGGGTAAAATATAATAAATGAATGAAATGAAATGAAATGATCCTACCAGTCACTAACTACGATTTGCCTTTGTTGTGGGGAAGATTGAGAGCGTGCGAACTTTGAGGCGCTGTAAGAGAGATGCAGAAGCGCTGCTGTATCAAGCGCGAAGTGCAGCTTACAGTGGCCTCTGCCAAAACAATCGCCAAGTCTTTTTGAAGATAAATTTAGGTGGGAATCATTTACCTATCTCCTTTAGGAACAGGTCCCTCCTGAAATCAACAAGAGTTTACGTCAGAGCAGACCCGTCTAGACTTCTGTCGTTCGCCGGGATGGGGGCTAGATAAGAAACTCCTGAGTGTAAACATCGTGACGCGCACCTCTACGGTGTTTCAAACAAGAGCAACAAACACGCAACTGGTCTGAAACGAGGTTGGCAGCACGTCCGAAGCCAGGGCTCACCGACTCTGGGTTTATTCAAGCCAGCCGTTTGAAACACGGACTGTTTCGCCCTCATCTTTTAGCCCCCGCGTGCGGGGCTAAAAGGGGAGCGTGGGAACAGGGCGGGCTGATGTTGTGCATCGCGCCAGCTCGGGTTTACAACCGAAAAGCAACCCCTTGGGCTCCTTTCTCAAAAAATAAAATAAAATAAAATAAAATAAAATAAAATAAAATAAAATAAAATAATAAAATAAAATAAAATAAAATAAAATAAAATAAAATAAAATAAAATAATAAAATAAATAAAATAAAATAAAATAAAATAAAATAAAATAAAATAAAATAAAATAAAGGCCAGCTGCTAGAGACTGGGCGCTCCCCGAAGCCGAGGCTTCGTTTCAGCTGCAGCAGCCCCAAAAGAGGAATCCGGGGGGGAACTGTCGGATCGCCGCCGCCGCCGCCGCCGCCGTTTCGGTTCTTAGCAGGGGCGACTTTATTACCTTGCGGTGGGAACCTCTGACCAGAAGGAGGATGAGGCCGGGCGGGGAGGGGGGAGTTGGGAGCGAGAGGTGACAATGGGCAGGAAATGGTTTGCTTGGGCTTCTGGAAGAACAATAAAGATCTCGTTAAACGGGAGCAGCGTCGGATCAAAACAGAAGCGACTCCCAGTTCAGCTGCTGCGCAATCGGTCGCGCCTTCTCAGCATCTTCGAACATGATTATCCTGAAGACCACGGATCGCTCTTATTATGCGACCGGCCTTCTGGCACAGAGTCCGCTTCACTCCAGAGAGGCGACCTGTTTAGGACTGCAACCTTGCTATTTTCCCCCATCTAAGTTCGTTCCCAAGTTAAGTTCCACTGAGGTCAGGATTTTCCCAGTAAATACATATGCCCAGGACCCTATCCTGGGCATATATATATATTTTACATATATATATATGGGCATATATATATTTTTACACACACACACATATATATTTACATCCTCCAATTTTTAGAATTTTAAAGGATATATATGTGTGTGTGTGTGTGTGTGTGTGTGTGTTTTCAGAATAAATAAATAAAAGTGAACACCAGGGAGAATCCTTAAACTATAAAAGTTTAATACCAAGTTTACAAACGCCAAGCTTTCGTCAGCCACTGCTGACATCATCAGGGCTATATATATATATATATATCATATATATATCATATATATGTGCCTTGTCCTCCTATCATATATAGCTCACTCTTGTTTCGACCGTTTGAACTCTTAAACAAAAAAAAAATGATGTACAAAAGCTCAATTCTTTCTTTCTGGGATGATCGGTTTTACCGAAAAGATCTTTATGCCATTGTTTGAGGGTTTGGTTTTTTTTGCAAAATAACTAGCAATGAGTAATAAGGAATATCAAGATATAATACATACAGCCAATGGAAAAACCAGACAATTTAAAATTCTGATCACTTAGAGAACCACATAAAAGATACCATCCTTTACATAAGTCTAAGAGTTAAAAACATTCTGAAACTAAAATAAAAAATAAAAATAAAATAACGCCTAATCAAATGTGGAAAGAAGCATTTATGAAACGGCAGCACTATCAGCAATGTCTAGACATAACTGTCAGAAGGAAGTTCCAAACAGTGGCCCGTCTCTAATAAATTCCTTTTTCACACCCCACCAGTTTGAATGTACCTACTGATCAGTCCCATGAAAGCTTAAATGTGTGTGAGCAATTATGAGATTTTAAATTGTGATTCCTTTAAAAAGACAAAAAAAAAAAAAAAAAAGGCATGGAACAAATATGTAGGTTGCTCAATTGATATAATACCAGAGTGACATATCTTGATGCTTAGCACCCATAAGCATTTGGGAAACCACACTTAGCACTAGCCGAATTTTCTGAATCATCTTCAAAGGCACCCATTCCGATTACTCCATTTTCACACCCGGGCATCTCCATTTTACTTGGATGAAACTGCAACTTGTTTGCTCTCATCCATCCCCAATTTGCTTCTGGACATCTGTTCAGAAAGCCCACAGCCTCCCTGGGATTACGCAAAGCATAGATGACCCGTGGAATTTGCTGTCATCAGATGTGGTGATGGCCACCAATTAGGAGAGTTTTAAAAAGGAACTGGACAACTGCAAAGGAAGCATTGATGTCTGTTTCCTAGCCCTTGGATTCACAGGCAGACAACCTTGAACACCAGCTGCTAGGAAGCAAAAGTGGAGGAGAAATATCAGTCTTTCCCCCCCCAAGTCTTTGTGTTTCCTTAATGCATTTTGTTTACAACAGTAATAATAATAATAATAATAATAATAATAATAATAATAATAATTTATTATTATTATTATTATTATTATTATTATTATTAATTTATATACCGCCCTTCTCCCGCAGGACTCAGGGCGGTGCACAGCATATTAAAACAGATACAAATGTAAAATACAGAAATAAAAACCCCTATAAAACCAAATTAAAAACCAAATATTAGAAGCTGTATTCCAATTAAAATTATACTTAAAAACATCCCTAAGAAGGTTGGCTAGATTACCAATTTGCTTCTTATGTTCTTAAGTAGATTGAAATTAAAAGTTTCTAGCTACCTTTTTCTGTGGCAGTAGTGAAAAGCATATGAAATGAGATGGAAACATATGATACCTCAAAAGAGAGTTCCCAAACCCTACTGATTCCATTTTCCTTGAAAAGGACTGGAATTACCATAACATTATATTCCCCCAGGCAATTAGAGTAAAGTCATCTATTAAGATCTGTAAGACTGTCCCTATCTTTTATCTTAGTTAGCTGACTGAAATGTCTCTATCTAAACAGCTTGGATTTCAGCTCCACAACCTTCCATCCTTAAGCATGGAATCATTGACTTCAGATTTATGCTGGGTTCCTTACCTTTTCCAGCATAGGTTAAATTATATGCAGTAAGAGCACATTTACAAGCTACTTTTTGAAATAATTAAAAAGATATTGAAATATTTCTTTGATCCCAAGCCTCTGTCAACTTTCTTGCCCTGTTGCCTGTCATACAGACTTGAAGTTCAGAGCACACTTCCAAGTTATTCAACTTACAGCAATTATTTATTCCAGTTGTGGAGAGCACACATACCTTAGTTGTTTCCCAATCTGTTTCAGAGTATAAAACAACAGAATGTTGGAGGAAGTAACTTTAATCTTGATTAAGTTCCCCATAAAAACTAGAAAGTGCTGAGATGTAGGTCCTATCCAATATCCACATCCATAAAGCTGCAAAACTCTGCTTCACTGGAACATATCTCTTAACTATATATTTACAGAGATTGATACCTAGTTTTTCTTTCAGAATTGGATCCTGCTGTATCATCTCTTTCTCTCTCTCTCTCTTATATATTTGTACTTGGTTTTTAAAACCAATTTTAATTGGTTTTTATTTATAATTACAGCTCTTTGGAAGAGAGAGGTTGTTTTTTTTTATTATGGAAAGAGAATATTTATCCTTTCAGTTAGTTTTAATTCCATTAGGGTTTTAGCACTAAAGAGACCAAAAAAACTTCACTCTTTCACATTTAAAATATGTGAGAATTCCTGCTAATATATCATTAAAAGGCTCTGTAAAACTGGACACAAATATAAAGTATCCATGATTCCGTCTCCTTTGGTAAATGGACAGCATGTTTAAAATGGATTCTTGACTGTAAATAACCATTTTTCCTCATGCCACAGTTGTGGCTCATTTTACATCAAAGTCCCACTGATCTGAACAACCTTGATATGCAAATAGGTGTGCTTACAAGATCCGGTCACTGGAGACCAAAGTTTGGGGTGATGGATCCATGGCTATTCACATTCTCATGGTATACTCCTACCCACAAGGATTTCATCCAGACCGTCCTGCTCTTTGCAGGAGTAGTAAGACACATCTTTGGATGGGTAAATGGTGCTACTGGAATAAGCAATGTGAGTGCGGAGTGTCTACCAGTTATGGCTCTCTTACTGACCTGGGCCATTTCCTCCTTTGGCTGCTGAAACTACAGCCCGGCAGCTTTGATAGAGGTGCAAACATTTGGGGGCAGATTTACATAAAATAGCTGCGTTTAATCCCACTGGCTGCAATTAACATCACAGGCTTTCCCTGGGCTTCGTTCTGATATGGCCGCAGGGAGCCAATCAGGTAGGCGGGACAGATACATCAAAGAGACTGTCCTCCAATCAGGTGAGCCCCCTACTGGCATTGTGATGTCACAAGGATATTTATACCAGGGGCTTAATTGCTCCCCCGTTTAACTAGTTTAGTTTCGTTTCAAGTGGCGTGGATCAGAGAGGTCAAGTGGAATTAACCCTTCTGCCCCCAAACTGCAAACCTGTCCCACGCCCCACCACCTACTTTTAGGGTGCTTTTGACTTCCCTCACTACAGCTTGTTGTGCGGCTTCCTCTGACAATTTCTCCAAGGCAGAGCGCTTCGGGGGTACCAAAAGGCTGGAGAAGGATCTTGGTATTAAAGGGGGCTTGGTGGGTGGCCAGTAAGATGGGTTCTCCAACCACGGACAGCTCAGGAAAGAGTCTGCAGTATCAAGTGGATCATCTGCTAAGCGCCGTGGAGAACGAACTACAAGCTGGCAGAGAAAAGGGGGATCCTACCGAGAGGGAGCTGCGAGTCACTCTGGAGGACAGTGAACTGTGGTTGCGCTTCAAAGAACTCACCAATGAGATGATTGTCACCAAAAATGGCAGGTAGGAGGAAAGAGAAAGACAGAGAAATGTATTGATGTTTTCAGGTTGTTGTTCCCACTTTGCTTTCTCTTGTGTTCATTCAATTGTTGCCCTGGACTTCAGAAAATCAGTCACCCAAGCATCGGAAGCCTTCTGCTCTCAATTGCTTTTAGTAGCTAACGGAGGAAATTCCTTCAGTTATCTTTCCCAAGTCCTATTCTTTTTTTGGGACATACCCTCTTAATGTCTCTTTTGCCCCTTGACCACTGGCACCCCTTCTTGGTCTCTTCCAGTCATCTTGTAGCCTTCCAGTCTTTATTCCATTCCTCTTCCTCTGCTCTTGTAATCCTTAACAATCCTGTCCAGTCTATTTGTAAAGGAGGAGGATTACAGCCTGAGTTTCCACTCAGGATATGAGATTGTCCCTTGTGGAAATGCAGAAAGTTATTTTTCAAAGGCAGCCACCTGGCTGCTTGCAGTGATGTTTTTTCAAACTAGATTTTTCATGTGCCTTTTGAAGAAACTAACACCCTGGCAATAAATTGCATACATAAAGATTAGCTTTCCCAGGAGAGAAAAACAAAAGTTTTCCTAGTGGGGTACAGGATTTTATTGTGATATCAGTAGAATTTCAGTTCTAATAAACATCTTTCCCATCAGTCTTTTTTGAAGATTACCTTCCATTCCATGACTAATTTGAACTGCCATGATGTCTCCATTTAAAAAAAAGTTTTGTGGGCCTTCTAGCCTGTTTAGGAAAGCTTGCAATCACAACAAATGGAAGATTACTTAAAAAAAGGAAGCTGTAACCCAGACTCTCCCTTTTTGTAATCCAAAGCTGTAAGTCTGCGAACCTGTGCCTCTAACATGCAAGTGAATTTCCCCGAAGCAGAGAGAACTCTCCCAAATCAAAGAAATTAAAAAGGGAGGATCAAAGTGCATCCCTCAAAATGACTAAATCAGAAGAATTTACTTCCACAACCTGAGAACAAAGAATGGCTTTGGTTGGCCATACCCTACAGGGGTACCTTTTAAAGCATTTGCATCTGATCTCTAAAATGGCTTATTCCTAGTCTAAAGATAGAATCCATGTAAGATGTCATTTGGCCAGGGAGGAGCCTCCTTCCAAATTATTGCTAGTCACTAATTATGGCTCACTGATTCCAAAGACCTCTTTTCGAGGGGGTGAGATGAGAATCCCCTCCAGGTTTAGAAATATAACTAACCGCCAACTAACCCCAGTGCATGTTTATTTGGGAATCCAACCCAAGGAGTTCATCGCCTGCGCTCCAATGAAATGTTAGCGTGAAAGCAGCCGCAAAGCGGGCTGCAAACTGAAGCGGGTTTTCCTTTACGTTGGATTCTAGACAGCATCCAGGCATGGCGAGGCTTCCTCGACTCGGGGCGGAGGAGGGTCTGTCTTTTGGGCAGAAAGGGCTTCGACGTCGGCCGCCTAGGCCTGGCCCGAGAGGCCGCGCCGCCCGTGTCTCCTCCCGCCTCTCCTCGCTCCTTGCGTCTCCTCCCTGCAGGCGAATGTTCCCGGTGTTGAAGGCCAGCGTGTCCGGACTCGACCCCAACGCCATGTACTCCTTCTTGCTGGACTTTGTGGCTGCAGACAATCACCGCTGGAAGTACGTCAACGGCGAATGGGTGCCGGGCGGCAAGCCTGAGCCGCAGGCCCCGAGCTGCGTCTACATCCACCCGGATTCGCCCAATTTTGGCGCCCACTGGATGAAGGCGCCCGTGTCCTTCAGTAAGGTCAAGCTCACCAATAAGCTCAACGGGGGAGGCCAGGTGAGGAGGGTGCGCGTGGAGGTGGAAAAAAAAAATATATATTCCTGCGGACAGGAATAGGCATCCAAAAATAACGGGCTGGGGGCAGAGAAGGAGCAAGGTGCTTTGGGGAGAAGGACGCAGGTCCACTTCACTTAGGGTTGCCAGGTTTGCTTCCAAAAAATAGTGGACAAGCGGGGGGTGGGGGTTAAGTAGTAAAAAAAGTAGACTGTACAGCTTTAGATTACGTACCATTTCATCATAAAGCTTTTGAATAAAAAAAAATGTCCACTATTTTGTGAAAAAAAATAGTGAACATAATGTGAAAAAAGTGGACTGTCCGCTCAAATAGTGGACACCTGGCAACCCTAGAACTTAGGATGCTGTAGAAGAAATGAAGGTCGAATGTGTAGTAAGTAGCTTGGACCATTGTAAGCGCCTTCTGAAAACATCTTTGATGTCAGTGGGTTCCAGAGAGTTGCCTCTTCAATAGGCATTCTTAGGCCTTCAGCCGCCTTTTATTTTTCAGCTTAGGAATCTGGAAAATATTTTACACAGAGGTCCCTCGTTGCCATCTTGTCAACCCTTTTGGCTGCTTTTTGAGTATCCCCTTCCCTGCCTTGCACAGGAAAGCATCCTAGGAAACCCAGTTTAGCTGTTTTATTCGGTGTAATGAGATGTGCGGCCTGGAGGAGATTCCGGAAAATGTGTTCTGTTCTTGTGTCCTGGGCTCTGTAGTCTGGATTTTTATAGACACTCTGGTAATTTTTTCATATTTGGGTAGTTGCCTGAAAGGCCAGTTGCTTTGCACACAGTCCTAGGGATCTGAAATTGATTGCAATATTTTCATCTGGAGCTTGCACAATTTGCAAGAAGGTAATGATGTCTTTAAGCAGAAAAAGAAATCCCAAACTAGTATTACAATTCCTTGAAGCATTGGGCATATTTTAGTGTGGCATAAACTTCTGTATGTCCATCAGAGGTATTAAGTATATTCATCGGCCAGTATAGGACATTGCATTGACTGTTGAAGTGAACTGTCATCCAAGATAGCTTTAAATGTTCTGAAGCTTCTGTCTGTGTTACTTAAACTGTAATCATTAATTTCTGACATAACCTATAATTTTAAGAACATTTAAAACCTGGATTCCGATGTGTTAAGAACTGAAACAGCATGCAGCAACAAATACACAATAAGAATTTGGAGGAGGGTCAAAAGATAACCTACTGGCAATGTGTGTTTGTATCCATCTCTTAGAATGAAACACAGTCTCAGCTATTTGTATATTTGGGACCCAGAGAATTGGCATCTACAAAACTCACTTTTGTAGATACACTTGTATATTAAAAAAAACTTATTTTATCCCAAAACAACAAGAACAGTGATTTGTAAGGTGAATTGGAGTATATCCTGATTTAACCTATTTGGAGGCAGGTACCTAGAAACTACCTGGTAGTTCTAGTCCTATAATTAAGAAGAGTGAAATAGCCTATCCTCAACAATTAATTTTATTTAAAAGCAATGATTTATAATTATTTTGTTTATTATTTTTCATGGAAATTTAGAATTTTTTTTTCAAGCAACCAGATACCTTGTGGCAGTCCTGAATGCTGGAACTGTTAATGTCTCACCCTAATTGCTACCAAATTAAATTTTGGATTAGAGTCTTGTGAAGTCTGTGTGGCAGTGTAATGCACAGCAAACTCATATAGCACAAATTTTCTTGGGAACTCCATAAGAATAAAAGGCATGGACCTAAAATATTTTAATAAAATTGTCTTCTGTTCTGGATTGGAGGGATATTCCATTCAACTTGTATTTTTATAGGACAAAATCAGTCACAGAGGACTCTTCTGTAGTTTTCTACAGAGGTTTTTTTTTAATATTAATGCAGAAAATGGATGCAATGGTTGGGTGCAAAATCTAGTGCTGCATATTATTGTCAACATTCTGGAACATGCTTAGACCTCTAGGGTGTTATCTCAAGATAAGTATAGAGACAATTTGGAGAAAGTGATGTGTGACATGCACCATTCTTAGCATATTTACAAGCTACATAAAGACTAACCAAAGTAATAATCCAGGGCCAGTTTGCTAAGAGCTTGGGGGTAATATGGCGATATATAATAATGGCAGCAACAGAATATATGACTGTTGAGCAAGTCTTAATGTTAATTTTATTCATAAATTTCTCTTTGTGCACAGAAAAAAGTTAATTGTAGGACCAACAGCTAGTGAAATTTTGGAAATGTCAAAGTATGTTTTCATTGCCCAATTCATATTTATTGTTGTGATGATAGGACATGTTAATAGCTATTTTTCTGTTCATTGCCCTCTCTTGACAGAGATATGCCAGGCATGGAAAGTTATTCATGTGAAACTCTTATGTAAATATTTCACTGGCTAATACCTGGATTTTTTTAGGAAGAAAAATGACAGGTTAGCATCCAATCTGGCAGCATGAAAGTTTCAATAAATTTGCAGATACATTTTTCAAGTCACTTATTATAATGAATAATGTGATAATCTGTACCAAGATTGTTTTAGCTTCTGTAATTTATGTAACCTAGTTATAAAGAAAGTTTTTTATGTAAAGCATTCTATATATCTGAAATGGGCACGAAATATAGTTAAATAGCATGCTGATCACTAATTTTAGAAATGTTTATAGCTGTATATTGTAGTACAAATGTACATTTTTTTCAGCATGGTTCTCTATTTTTGATAGCATAATATATATTAGCAAAATTTTTAATCTGACAGTAAAATGAGATACCTAATGGGTAACCTGTATAGTTTGTTTGATGTTTGTTCCAGTATTGGGCATAAATATGCCATGTACTGTGCTAGTTAAACAAAGTTAGAAATTACAGTTTTAATTACAGAGGAATCATTGTCTTTCCTTTAACCAAGACTACCGATTACTGTTGTTCTCCAATTATTATTATTTTTAGCATCATCTAACTATGCATTTTCAGTATTTTAAGTTTCTTATAAAAGAAAAAAAAATGAAACCCTTAAGTTAACACACTAGGCTATTAACCAGGAGACTGTGAGTTCTAATTCTGCCTTAGGCATGAAAGCTGGCTGGTCTTTCTTATCACTTTCTCTCAGCCCAACTCTCTTCACAGGGCTGTTATGGGGAAAATAGGAGGAGAAAAGAGTATTAGGTATGTTTGGCACCTTGAGTTACTTATAAAAATAATCTCGGATAAAAAAAATCTTTAAAAAGAATCCTGTAGGATGGTATATGCACCAAAAGGTCCTTGGTTGGTTATATTTTGTTGTTATTAACATATCTTTGGTTCTGATGAGATTCCAAAAGCTAATATTTCCTTTATTGAATGAATGTTTTTGCAATTATGATATGACAGTCATTAAGGAACCCAGTAAAAAGGAGTTTCCCTTATTTTTACTAGGAAAACATATCACTTAAATTGTTTGCACACAAAAACATGGATCAGTTTTGTGGGTATTTTGTATTCTGGTCAGTTTATAAAAACTTGCAGTGGTAGTTTTTAATTGGGTAATATTGATTATGTCTAGATAATAATAACTTGCTTTCTGAGCAACGAATAAAGCTCTGCATGGAATCCTTTCATTCCTCCCTCAATAACGAAAGATGAAAATCAAGTTATAAACATTTAATTAGAGTTTGGCAAAATGTAGTTATCAGTTTTGAAATAATCCAAGCTAATAAATCAATTTTTAATTATTTAATGTCTTAGTTTATTTCAAAGCTAGTAACATTACTTTCCTACCTTGGATAAAATTGAAAACTAAGTGTAAATAAAATGTTCCTGTTTTGATTGTTCATCTGGAAAGACAAAAGGTAAAATGGCCACTGAGGTCTGGACTCTTACCTTTACTTTTTGTTTTAGATTTAAGTTAGCAAATTTCTTTCCTTCTTATTAAAAAGCCAAAATTACTGCTATAGTTGGTGTTGCAGTCTCAGAATAGGGTTTATCACTCTTTCAGTGCTTGTTTCTATTGTTCTTACACCAACAGATCATGTTGAACTCCTTGCACAAGTATGAGCCTAGGATTCACATAGTGAGAGTTGGCGGCCCTCAGCGAATGATCACCAGCCATTCCTTCCCGGAGACACAGTTTATAGCTGTGACAGCTTACCAGAACGAAGAGGTAGGCATAAAGTGTGGAAGAGCCGGCATGGATTGCTCTCCTTCAAAGTAGTAAAGGGACTTGGAGTGAGAAGGGGGATGTTAAAATTAGGGGTATGCTGTTTACAAGAATTTTAAAAGATGCTACAAAGGAGATGTAGTAATTGTTCACTTCCAGTGAATACTTAAAAAAAAGAAAAGAAATGGAATTTCTAGAAAGTAGGAGAAAATGTCTTAAGCATAAAAAGATCTTAGCAATGAAATAAGGTAGATACAATTCTATGTTACTGGTTTATTTTGGCCATTTAAAAAAAACTACTTTTATTATACTTTCAGGAGAATATTAAGTGATTTTTTTTTTCAACTAGAAGCATCTCGCTCTTTGAGTTAAAAAAAAAGAAGGTTGTCTGATGTTTTTGCTTGTTTGGAAAATGTTTCAGTTAACGTCAAGACTTTATCAGTAATCACCTCTTTATTTTGTTTATATTACTGAGCACTCTTTAATTGCAACTTAACACCATTGGATTATATGGAATTGATTTCCAAGAAGATTTATAGAGGACCAGGATCTGAGCTTATTCGATGAGTCTGATGAAAGGAGTATTGATTTTCAATACACGTTGTCATTATTTAATGTAGAAAATAGCTGTATTATGCAAATCATTTTTAAAAAATTACTTTGAATCCAAACAGCCTTGATTATTGACAGCACTAAGCAATTTATCATAATATACAAATTGAAAGATTGTTTAAAACCTACATTTTAAACATATACTTGAATTGTCCTAATCAGTTGATATATAAATATCAGTGAAGTAATAGGAGTACTACGTAGATATACCTATTTGAACTTATTCTTTGTCATGTTGTGACTTTCCTGTAAAAATAATAACCATTAATTTTTTTGTAAAACTCTTTTTTCTATCTGCTATTTTATGTCTGTGTTAGCTTCTAATGTTTATTACTGCTCACTTTGAGTCTTGTCAGAACATGTAAAGGGCTAAGCATTATGCCTCATCATGCTTTAATAGATTCTGAATAAATGTTTAGGTCCTCCAGAGAGAGAAATAAAGTTCCTTCAACTTTCAAGTTGAAGCCTACATGATGAATTGTAATGAGGTTAAGCACTTATGCTAAACTAGCTAAGTGCTAATGATTACCAATTAATTTTTAAAAATCATATTAATGTATAGCAAGCTAAAGTCTAGCAAGTAGTTAATCTTCTGTTAAATGTTTATACATCATTGTTTCAAAGTTTTTAGGATGTCTCTGTTTCATTGAACAATGGGTAGAACTATGATATAAATCCTTTGTGTTTAAATTCTCCATGCTGAAACAATAGCTCATTTCTTAATAAAATAAATCATTTGTTCTTCCAATATATTATCCCCTCTTTTTACCCGGAACCTGACACTTTTTATAACTGTTTTTAGTGTATCCTCCCTCCACCCTACGTCCCTTTTATGTACTTCCTTAATAGGATAATAAAACCAGGCATCTTAGTAAGGCAAAGAGGGGACATTGTAGAGGATTTCAAAGTGTGCTCTTGCAGTCTTAGTAGTTTTAATAATTTCATTCTGGGCTTTTTCCCACCAGAATCAATTGCAAAAACCTTAGTGGAATTAGCAAGTAATGCTGCTGAATTATATTTTCAATTAACAAGAAAATAATTAAAATTACATTTGAATTTGAAATATCTTCTTCATTTTTCGTAGATAACAGCATTAAAGATAAAATATAACCCCTTTGCAAAAGCTTTCCTGGATGCAAAAGAAAGGTGAGAGCTGTTGATTGCTTTTAATTGCATTTACAGATTGCATTTCATTAGGCCGTTTAATATTTTTGCTAATGAATTGTGTTTCTTTGACAGAAGTGATCACAAAGACATGATGGATGAAGTGGGAGACGGTCAGCAATCACAATATTCACAATGTATGTCTAAACTCTCTTCTGAAAGTTATGTTATATTTTTGTTACACCATTGCCATATGAAAAAAAATCTCAAACCAGTTTTGTTCCAGTATCAGTTCTACTTTGTTATGCAGTTAAGAACATTATTCATGAATATAAAATGCATGAATGTATATTTCATAAAATATAATCTTCACCAACAGTTTAGAAAGCTTTCTTTCTTTTTTCTTTTTAAATGTGTACTGCAATATACTTCAGCCTGAGAAGTGGTATTATAATTTTACAGTCCTGATGCCAAAGACTGTAAACACTATTAAAGTCCTTGCCCTGTTTCTGTTACTGAACATTGAGAATGAAGAAGAACCTGCATTGAACAAACAGAAGAAAAAAATGATCAGAGGCGAAAGAATGTGCTCTACCTTGGAAGATTCCACATTCCTGGATCTCTAGATATTTTAGGGCAGCGCTTCTCAGCCTTGGCAACGTTAAACTGGGTAGATTTCAATTCCCAGAATTCCCCAGTCAGCACCTCACTTAAAATTGCCAAGGTCGAGAATCACCGTTTTAGGGTATCTGATGATTAAGCAGCGAAATGTACTCTGCTTTTAATGGGCTCAGAGCACAGCAGTTGAATATATATTTTGAGTGCAGCAGGACCCTGGTTCAGTTACGGTCATTTCCAAGTAGAATTCAAAAAATTCCTGCTAACTTGGGGAAAACCACCGCTAATCAGGGTTGAAAATACCATGTGATGTGGACTAAAGGTGTGACCTGGAATTGTAGAAACTCACCTTCTGCAGTTTTCCTCATGTGCATACTACAGATAGTCCTTGACTTACAACCATTCATTTATGGACCGTTTGGCACTAAAAAGTGATTTATGACCGTTTTTCACACTTCACGGCCATTGCAGCAACCCCCCCCCCCGGTCACATGATCAACATTCGGACTCTTGGCAACTGGTTCATATTTATGACGGCTGCAGTGTCCCGGGGTCATGTGATCTCCTTTTGCGACCTTCTGACAAGCAAAGTCAAAGGGGAAGCCAGGTTCACTTCACAACCGTGTTACTAACTTAGCAACTGTGGCAAGAAAGGTCGTAAAATGGGGCAAAACTTACTGAACAAATGTTTCACTTAGCAACAGAAATTTTGGACTCAATTCTGGTCGTATGTTGAGGACTACCTGTGCCTCATTTCAAAAACAGGATTTCACACTTAAAAATGTAGAAAAGCTATTTGCTTAAAGCACCTAAAATATTAGCCATCGGGGTTTTTTTGTGCCTCTAGTATTGAAATTAAGTGGGATAAGGAAAAAGCCGGTGTAATTTGGTATTTACAATCTCTTTCGTTTGTTCAAGTATATCAATCAATTGGTCAAATGTATCAATCCATGCAAAGTCTGGAATATCCCCGCTGAAATCTCACTGTTGTTTTTCAGAAGAGTTCAATAATCTTTGAGACAGGGATTGCTGGCAACAGCACAAAGTTTTGAAGAAGATCAGAAGCTTGATTAGGTTAATTAGAAATATTAGCGGAACCCTTCCCTTTATCTGAGTTTCACAGTTTGAGTATTACTGTGCTGCTGTCTGAATAGCTCCCCTGTAATTACAATAATATAAAAAATGACAGAAGATAAAGTTTAACCTGACAGGCTCATTTCCCACCTTTCATACCAATATAGTAAAGTTCAATGCAGAGTATAACTAAGATGGTTTATATCGTGACACAGATTTTGTCATTCTCCCACTCTTTTCTCCATAGAGATCTATGACTACCACTTATTCAAATATATGTTTACTTGGATATTTTGCTGTTCTCACATTGCTTCTTCAAAGCTATTAGATGCAAAAGATTACCTCCCAGATTATGATGTAGCACAGTGGTTCTCAACCTTTTTAATGCCGTGACCCCAACCGGTCATAAGTCGAGGACTAAACCGGTTGTAAGTCGAGGACTAAACCGGTCGTAAGTCGAGGACTTTCCCTGCCCAGGAGCCCCGCGCATGCGTGGTTCCGCCCCCTGCGCTGGCCGAGGCGTAGCTGGCAAGCGGCAGAGACGGAGCAGGCCGACCACCAGCTGGCCCAGCCCAAGGGAGGTAAGGCACCCGCCGGAAAAGGGGAAAAAATGGCGGACAAAAAAAATGGTGGACAAAAAAAATGGCAGACAGCCTTGCTTGGTGACCCCCGTGAAATAGTCGATCGACCCCAAATGGGGTCCCGACCCACAGGTTGAGAATCACTGATGTAGCAAATAAGAGATGTGAGGTTATAAAAATCTTATGTTCATGATTTGAGATTATTCCTGATGGTGCTCCTGTTTTCTTGCTTTAATGTGTAGGAATGTTGTTGTGTCACAATGTTTCACTTATGGCACACCATTGGTCAGCAGTGATGGGTAAATATGCCGTAATTGTGCCAGAACAAAGCTATTTATAGCCACAAGTTACTGGGAGAGACAAGAAGAGCTTGCAATCCATTTTTATTATTTAAATGTGAGTTAAAAATAGATTTTACATTCTAGGATTGATTTGTGCAAACAAGCTGCTGTCATCTTGGACAAATAATCCTGCTATATATTGGTAAAATGATATTCATCTTTTTACAGTAGGTGGTTGGCTAATTCCTGGAACAGGGACTCTTTGTCCTCCTGCCAGTCCTCATTCCCAGTTTGGCACATCTCTTTCACTGTCTCCTGCTCACAGTTGTGAAAGGTATTCGTCGTTAAGAAATCACCGTCCTGCCCCTTATCCAAATCCATACACCCATAGAACCAATTCTCCAAGTAAGTACTTTATACTGTACTACAGTTGTTTGATGTCATACAATACTAATAGATATCAGTGTGAATGTATAGCAGAAGTGTGGAATCTGTGACACCCCCCCCCCCAGTCTTAAACTACAAATCTGTCCCCCACTGTAGATTATTATATCTGGAGCCATAGAAGTTGTAATTCAGCAACATCTGTAGGACCATTAGTTTAGTCCTGGGTGGTAAAGGCTAGATCTAAATCTGATTTAATGTGGTGTAGCAGTTAAAATGCTGAATTAGCAGCAGAAGACTTAGGTTCTAACGCTCATGAAAGCTGTCTGGCTACTTTGGGCCAGTCATCCTCTTTTAGCTTTAGATTGAGAGGTTGGAAAACATTTATACAAACTGCTTTTGACCAGCATATAGATTATGGTGCATATGCAATCTTCAATCCTGCAATGAATTAATTCAAGCTCAGGTAGATAGATGATAGATGATGATGATGATGATGATGATAGATAGATAGATAGATAGATAGATAGATAGATAGATAGATAGATGGATGGATGGATGGATGGATGGATGGATGGATGGATGGATGGATGGATTGGAGGGAGGGAGGGAGGGAGGGAGGGATAGATTATTTATCTTAATCAATTGTAGGAATTGTAACATCTCTTCAGAATGACAGAAATGAGATTTCATTAACCATCTGAATCATGGCATTTTTACTCAGAAAAGTAAAAGTAAAGTTTTGTTTTTTTAAAATACGTTCTTCAAATAATTGTTAAATGTTTTGAATAGTCTACAAAAGAGTGCACTATTAATAACAGATAGATCATTTAATTGAGAGTCTTTGCAGTAAAAGACTTCAATCTTATTTAAAATCAGATTTTTGTGAGAACCTGGCCTGTTACGATGATTCGGTTGATTTCATCTTTATGGCACTGGGATTTAGTAAAAAGAGGCAAGCCTCTTGATTTTCACACACAATTCATCATTCCATAAAGACTATATAATGTTTTCAATTACAGTATGCAGTCAGTTTCATTAGCAGTTTTAAAGAGCCTAGCTGCCTAATAAGTCGTAAAATTTCCAGCTAGGTGATTGTAAGAAAGGTGAATCTGAGGTAAATCTAAACTACATACTTGGTTTTGAGCTACTTAGCAATAGCAATAGCACTTAGACTACATAGTGCTTTACAGTCCTCTCTTAAGTGGTTTGCAGAGTCAGCATATTACCCCAAACAATCTGAGTCCTCATTTTACCGACCTCGGAAGGATGGAAGGCTGAGTCAACCTTGAGCCAGTCAGGATCAAACTGCTGGCAGTTGGCAGAGTTAGCCTGCAATACTGCATTCTAACCACTGCACCATCATGGCTCTCCGAAAGAACTCTAAGAGAGCAATTCTTCTTATTTCAGCAACAGATTGTTTATTTTTTAAAGACACTTTTATCTTATCTATTTCTGTTTATAAAAAGAACTTGGATTTTGTTGGTATGAAAATGATGTTTTGCTCATTTCTTTCAAACCTGATTATAGAGTAATGACTCAAAAAAAGGCTAAGAAGGTTACATGTTTCTTTTGAAAAGTTGATATGTCCCTGCTCCATTGAAACTTTGTAGGCTAAATATACAGAATTTACCCCTGCTTTGGGTCTATACTCATATGATTGCAAAATGATTGGATACTTATATAGAACAAAATGCAGTATTTTTAAACATCCTTATATCATTGCTGGAAATGCAAATACATTCTAACAATTCCTAATGAATTCAATTATACTGATGAAGGTCATATTTAGGTATTGTACTTGAAAGTATGTAATGTTCTTACACAAAATGCTTGCTTTTGCAGCACCCTACGGAGATAGTTCTTCAGCATGCCTTTCTATGCTCCAAAGCCACGATAATTGGTCCAGCTTAGGAGTTCCAACTCCAACAAGTATGTTGCCTATGAATCACAGTAGCGGTCCACCAACCAGCTCCAGGTAAGCCCTCTTCTATGAACGAGGAAGTCCTCTTGTGAAAAAGTAGATCCATTTCTACACGAGTCCCATGGAGGAGACCCCCCACCCCCAATATAACTATAGTTTGTGCACAAATACTGTTTGTATAGTATGTTTTATGCAGGGGTGGAGTGGTTCTGTTCTTTATCTGCAAGAATAGGATAACAGCTATTGTGTGATATACTAGCCACTTTGCTATAAAGGTAAAGGAGTCCTGTGGATTTTACTCTGCTAGTCATTGCCAATTATAGGGGGCAGTCCTCAAGGGCATTGAGCTAGTGCTGTCCGAAAACATTTCCGTGGTCATATGGCCAGCATGACACCACTGAATGCTGTTAGCTTCCCACCAAAGGGGTACCTATTTATCTACCTGTATGCTTTCAAACATTTCCGTGGTCATATGGCCAGCATGACACCACTGAATGCTGTTAGCTTCCCACCAAAGTGGTACCTATTTATCTACCTGTATGCTTTCAAACATTTCCGTGGTCATATGGCCAGCATGACACCACTGAATGCTGTTAGCTTCCCACCAAAGTGGTACCTATTTATCTACCTGTATGCTTTCAAACATTTCCGTGGTCATGTGGCCAGCATGACACCACTGAATGCTGTTAGCTTCCCACCAAAGTGGTACCTATTTATCTACTTGTATGCTTTCAAACTGCTAGGTTGGCAAGTGCTGGGGCGAAGAAGAGAGTTCACCCCATCGCATGGAGCTTGGGTCTCAAATCTGGGCTGCCGGCTTTCCAGCCGACAAGCCCAGTGTCTTAGCTACTGTGCCGCCTCTCTTTGTTGCTATAGGTGAAAATTATTTTTCACTTCATCTGTTATTTCCTTTTATATGCGTATTGGAGGAGATCAGTGACTTAACATTATTGAAAACCAAACTTTTGAGTCTCTTAACTCCTTCCCTTTGGTGAGTGTGAGCCAACACACTTTCCACTGAAAAATAGTGTAAAACTATATCACTAGTTCCATCTACAGCCATCCCTGGCTTAAAGGGTGGGGGGAGAAGAGATTGGTGTATAAAAAAAAGGTTAGTAAGATGCAAATGTACACCTCCTTAGCATCCATGACAGAGGTCAATAAAGACAAGATTCTGGATGCCAATCCTACTTCTTGCAAGTCCAAGGAAATAGGACTTCTCTTCTCTCTTTCCTGATGCTGATGGCCATTTTTTTTAAAAAAAAATTGCTTAAGGAGCTTGGATGTAATAGGTCTTTTATTATGGAATTTACGAAATGTTGCCCCGATTCAGTGAGACAGGTGGCCATATAAATTTACTAAATAAATAAATACTAGGATAGTAAAAAAATATTATTAGGGAAAGACTCCATCTAACAGCAGCAGGCATTTGCAAGCTATGGCAATTTGCAGGATTCTGAAGAAATTGTATGTAAACAAACCTGTCCTATACGGTAACACATCTTTAATCTGCAGGAAATCACCAAGTGCAAAGTTCCCTAAAATACTTTCTTCCTTTTACAAACTAAAGTTTCTGCTATTGTGTAAGAACGTTGCTTTATGCTAGTCATTGAAGTGAGGAATCGTTAATAAGTATTTATAATTTGCTAGTTTATGACCACAATAAGAAAATTGATTTGATATAATTTTCCAATTCCTATACTGGTGAGGATCCTGCTGGATTTTGGGCTTAACTTTACAGATAGTTCCATTTTAGTAGCTGGTGATTGGAAGTTAAGTAAATAGGCTGCTTAAGGGCATTGTGCATCTGAGATTGGAGAGAGACTCATGAACCTATATTGAGACCAGTCTGACTCAGTATTAAATACCCAATTGCGACATGCCTTCCAAAAACCTTTAATACTTCTCCTAGTGAGGGATTTGCCATACCTTTCCCTCTGAAGCCAAAAAGGTGATTTGGAGTCAGGTGGCAGTATTTATGTGCATTATAAATTTGCATGTTTGAAGGTTGACACAGTCTTCCGTCCTTCTGGGGTTGATAAAATAAGGACCCAGATTGTCGGGGGCAATTTGCTGACCTTGTAAACTGCTATAAAGTGCTCTGAAGCAGTATATAAGTCTAAGTGATATTGCTATATACCAGTGGTGGCGAACCTATGGCACGGGTGCCAGAGGCGGCACTCAGAGCCTTCTCTGTGGGCATGTGCGCCGTCGCCCCAGTGCTAGGCCTTCAGCTGGGTTTTATAAAACCTTTTCGCTTTAGGCCTCCGCTGCTGTGTACAAAAAAAAAAAAGTTCAATCAATCAGTCAATTTCAACTTCTCGTGGGAAAAAAAAAGGTTTTGCAAAGTTGGAATTGATTGATTGAACTTTTTAGTCCCACCCAGTCTGGCGTTACCACCGCAGCCACGCCCAGCCAATGGGCCACGCCCACCCGGCACCCAACAATGCATAAGTGGGTTTTGAGTTGCAGTTTGGGTACTCGGTCTCTAAAAGGTTCCCCCTCACTGCTATATACTAACTGCATGATCCAGGTAAATACACACTTGAACTAAGGTTTATCTCTCTTGTTTTCATCCTGTCAGTGCCTGACTCAAATGCATATATTTCTTCCTCCCCTACTCCCAAATATGTTGATGTTGATAAATTCTATCTTTAGAGTAGTGTGTCTAATGAGGTGAGCCATAGTTTGCAAAAGTATATGATATGTTAAGTTACTTAGCCTTTAGCTAACGAGGCTACCTTTCTACAAATGGAAAACCTGTGTTTGTTTTTTTCTTTCTTGTAGCCAATATCCCAATTTGTGGTCTGTGAGCAACAGCACCATCTCACCAGTTTCACAGTCAGGTGGAATGTCCAGTGGGATAGGATCCCAGTTTTTGCGAGGCTCTACAACCCACTACCCCACACTTCCTCATTCCGTCGCTACGACTTCCTCGGGCTCTCCCCTCTATGACAATGGGGCACCCACAGATATTACTGACAGTCAGTATGATGCCTCAGTGCATGCTAGACTTGCCTCCACGTGGACTCCCGTCACAACTCCTTCTATGTAGACCTTTTCTGATGGCCAAAGACTTTCTAGTTGCTCTAAACTGGGAATCCGCTGAGAAAGTTCCAGGAGTTAGAGGAATAAGTCTTGACGTATATTAACGGTAAAGTATCTGCACTAATCGCTTGATGCTCCTTTCAGTATTAGAATGTATTAGTAAGTGGTACAGACACCTTATGAAAGCTCTAGGAATTTGTCTGGTGGTCCAGACCCCAAAGGACATGATTACCACCCTCTTTTCTACCTCTGCAGCCTTGAGGATTAGAATTGTTGCCAAACTTCTGTTAATGAGTGTTCAAAGCATCACGAACAGATCCTCTAATGAGCCATTTTTGACATTTTTTTAAAAAAGTTCAACATCAGATTAGGGATTTGCCAACATCAGATTAGGGATCGCATGATTTTTTTTTGTTCTGTTCAGTTTTTTAAAGGAAAAAAACAGTATTAAGGGCTGATTTCTACCATGCATCATACTTGACAGGTTTTTATAGATGAATGTATAAATTGCTTCCGTTGAAAACAGTGATGTGTATATTTCTGTTTTATTTGATTTTTGCTGGCAGTTTCAGAAATATAACTGTGACTTGGATTTTTATTTGTTGAAGGGTGAGATTTATGCATACACTTTCCCTAAGTAATACTTTATTATTTACCCAGTTAAAGGAAAGGACAATCAATGGTTCCAGGCCTGCTTTTGTGGCCCCCAAAGTTTGTTTTCATAAGTGTTGCTAAAAATCAACAGCATGGTTTCCCAGGATTCTAAATAAGAAAACACACTCAAATTGAAAATTTAACTGCATAATATGCCTAACCTAGTTTAACAAAGGAAATCACCCAATATCTTCCAGCAATTTTCTTTCAGCCACTTGCTTACGGATGTCCCAGTTGGAATAGTTCATTACCTGTTCTTTGATCATTCTATAATGCTTTGAAGATGCATACAATGGATGCAACAGTATAGAAACGTCTAAAACATTTCTAAAAAGAAATGCCGATTCTTTTAAAATACCTCTATATAGTTAGCCTTAAAGAATAGTTAAAAATTGTGCACTAATAAAATATGTGCCTTAAACTTTGCAGTTTACAGATTTAGGCACAACTGTGTGCTTATTTCCTTGTGCTAACTTGACCTGACAATCTAAAAAGTTCTTTTCTGTAAAATGAATGAAGTTTTCAAAATATTACTCATTTCTTTTTTTCCTTAATGTGTCTATATAAAGTTTTATATAGTGCAATTGTGCTTTGAGTGAAAATAAGTTTGATTGTGTTTTGTGGGACTTACTCCCAGGCAACAATTGTAGCTTTACTACTAATTCAGTGTGATTGTATAAATAACTATTTTGCCATATTTACACATTGTAGAAGCCTTTGCCAACAAGCCAGTTTGAAGCAATATTATCTTATCTTTCTATAAGCAAATGGCGAAACTATCAAAGATGCATTTATTTCCTTGCTGTTATGCAAGAACCATATGGAGCTTGTGGTTTTCCTGTATGTAGGAAGCTGTCATGTGTGAAGCCTTCTTTAATTAGTAGTTTGTAAATACTGTAATTTTCAGATCACTCAAGTGACTGTTACATAATAAAAAATATTTTTAAAGACATTTGATTTTAATAAGCTTGAAGCCTAGTCATAAGTAGGAAGTGCACATTCCCCCCCCTAATTTATTTTAGTGGTGACCTTTAACAAGTTGTATTTATTTGTTAGCAGATGTCTTTATATGTGTGTATATGCTCTGTTTACTGTAGAATGTAAGACTATCATCTAGGGCAGGGGTGTCAACTGTCAGCCCGCGGGCTGGATGCGTCACGTGGAAGCCGCACCCACTCCAGCTCCGGCAAGGGGAAAAAGTCATGATACGTTGCAACATGTCACATGATGCGGCTAGTTTGACACCCGTGATCTTGGGGATCTGTTTTTAGGAACAGAATTCTTGAGTGTCAAAATTGTATTTAAAGTTACCATCCTCAGAAGTCTGAGATCAAGCTCCAGATTAGATTGAGATGATCATGATGAAAGAGTTTAGTACTTATAAACCAGTAGTAGCAAAACCATTACCAAAATTGTTGCCTTTTCTTTGATATGTCCCTTGTCAATATGTAAATAAACTCTTCTGTTTTATTGTGCAAGTTGAATCTTGTAAATTAAGTATGTGCATTACATTGTGTTTTCTGTTGGGCATTAACAAAAATGTATTTTTGCTTGTGTGTCTCCATTTTAGCTATGCCCAGTTCAGTTGTGAAGTAAAGTGGTACTGTTTCTTTTGTAAACCAACAATTTAGTGGTTACTTGGTAACAATATTTAAATAAGACCACATTACACTACAGCAGGCATGTCAAACTGCCAGCTCACAGGCCGGATGCGTCACGCCGAAACCGCGCCCACCCCATTGCTGGAAATGGGGAAAAAATTGCAATACGTCATGCAACGTCACGTGACATTGCAAGTTTGATATGCCTGCACTACAGCATGGTGACTTTTAAATGAAATAGTCAAATCACACATGTAATGAGTCAAGACAGAGACTTGATAGCTGGTGTTCTTTAACTATAGTTTATCAGAAAAGAAGTTTACAAGCACAATGTAACTGAGACTCAAAGAATTGTATATTAATCCCAATTTTTCAGGTTAATTTCTGTTGCATAAATCTGTTGATTTGCATACAAGTAGTCCTCAATTCACAACTATTTGTTTAGTGACTGTTACAATGGCACTGAAAAAAGCGACTTATGGCAGGTCCTCACACTTACGACTATTGTAGCATCTCCACAATCAAGTGATTAAAATTCAGATGCTTGGTTATCAGGATGTATTTACAATAATTGCACATCCTGGGGTCATGTGATCACCATCTGCGACCTTCCCAGCCAGCTTGTGACAATCACAGTCAATGGGGCAAGACAGATTTGCTTAATAAATCAATGAACATGAATCATTAACAACTGCAATAATTCTCTCAACAACTGGGGCAAAAAGGTTGTAAAATTTGGCTTGAGTCACTTAACAACCAACTTGCTTAGCAACGGAAATTCTGGTCCCGGTTGTGTTTATAAATTGAAGACCACCTGTAATTGATCTGGAGATTATGTGTACAGACTGTTGCAGAGGGAAATCAAGGCAAGACCTTCCACCCGATTGTTTAGTATTTAACGTTGAAGCCAACTGTTTTTTAACTGAAGGGGTTATTTTTATGATGATAGTCACAGGAATTAATGCAACTCACGCAAAGGTATATTTGTGCAAATTTCCAGACTACAATTGCTACCTGCTCCTTGTGTTTCCTTGAGGAGCAGGTGGCTGCTTTTCTGAGGTGTTATAAATGCATCTTGTGCACTAGTTACACCTATGCCTACAGTCATGTATGCCCTAATCGCCTCTTGTTTGGACCATTGTAATGTAGTCTACACGGAGCTGTCCTTGAAAAATGTTCAAAAGTTTTGACAGATCTAGAATTGCAGCAGCGCTGCAGTATTGGATGCATTATGATATGCTTATATATCACCATTGCTATATGAATTATAGTGGCTCCCAGTAGGCTTCTAGATACCTTTCAAGGTGCATGTTGTCAATTTTAAAGCCCTTTATGGCATGGGACCAGGTTACTTGGACTGTCCATCCCCATTGATTTCTGCCTGCCTAGTAGATCTAGCATGGGCATGCTATGGATCTCCTCAGTGAACAGTACTTTCTGGTGCATCCAAAAAGTGTCTCTACCTGCATAGGGCTCCTGCCTTAGGGAACATCTCTCCCCCCCCCCCCCAAATTCAGATGGCACCATCATTTTTGACCTTCCAGAGTGTTATGAAGATCCGTGAAGACCATAACCTCAGACACTGTGATTGGGATATTAATGGAGCTTAGCATGTGTGAGGGGTGGTGGGACATTACAGTAAGGTGTTTTTTTTAAATAATGGCCTCAATTGACTTAATGTTCATTCATCTGATTGTGTGTTACATCTTGCTGTAACTATGTAATACATTTAACTAGCTTTTATAAATTTATATACAGTAACTGTCCAGAGCAACTATATACTTTTGTTAAGTGAATAAATGATTGAATGAATTTATATTCGGAATCTTCATTATTTTTCTACCAAACTCATTAGCATTTTAAATATATAAGAAGGGCTCTATTAAATAAGTATATTTGCAATAAAAGAGCATATAGTGAAAAAGAAAATGAAAGCGCTTAAAGAAATGAGATGAATTCAAGCAACAAAGTAAAGTTTAATTCCTTCTTTCTGATCTATCAGTAGACAGTAACTGGCTCCATTAAATGTGGTAGACTAATAAACGCAGGAATATTTGTCCAGGAAGAAAAATAAATACAAAGATTGTATATAAAAGAGGTAAATGGAATCCCAAATATGAAACAGAGTTTTTCAAGGAAGGCAATGTTTTGGAAGGATTCTCTAAATCAGTGGTTCTCAACCTTTTTAATGCCGTGACCCCCAACCTGTCGTAAGTCGAGGACTAAACCGGTCGTAAGTCGAGGACTAAACCGGTCGTAAGTCGAGGACTACCCAACCGGTCGTAAGTCGAGGACTTTCCCTGCCGGGAGCGCCGCACATGCATGGTTCCGCCCCCTGCGCCGGCCGAGGCATAGCTGGCAACCGGCAGAGACGAAGCAGGCCGACCACCAGCTGGCCCAGCTCAAGGGAGGTAAGGCACCCGCAGGAAAAGGGGCTAAAAATGGCGGATAGCCTTGCTTGGCGACCCCCATGAAATGGTCAATCGACCCCAAATGGGGTCGCGACCCATAGGTTGAGAACCGCTGCTCTAAATCATCCATCAATGGGAACACATACTATTATTTTGGAGAAGAGAGTTTCCCTTTCCCTTTTTTTTACAACCACAGTGTCTATAATGTCATTCAATTTTCTCCAATATTTTAGCCCAAGTAATTGAAGAGCACAGCCTTAATAAACCCCAGCTAGCACAGTCTTAAAGAATTATAGTCCAAGATCTAGAAGGTACCAATTTCTGATCATTAAAACAGTATA